GGGTGCCAAGTTTAAATTTCATAGTAAGTTATTGCTTTTTTTTTTTTTTTTTTTTTCCCAAAGTATCTATAATTTAGCAGAGAAAATGAAAATTAGGAGCCCTGACCTGCATCTCCACATCTGGTACAATATTCCTTTCTAAGTTTCTACGGAGGAGAACCACTAAGCCTTTTTCTGTTAATTCTCCTTTCCCTGGAAACCCGACAAAGGCTAAGATTTGAGCAACATAGAGGTTTACCTTTTAACAAATCTGCAGAGAACTCTAGTGGCAAGTACTGTTTACATTACAGCTAAACATACCTCTGTCTCAATTCTCTGGAGAAAAGACTGATGCATGCATCTTTGAAGACCTGCATTTCCAGCACTATTTGAATTCTAATGACTATGAGATCACTAATATATCTACTCCTGAATAGTCAATTACTTCCAATAATCATTTCTTAAATGTCTTAACAAAATATATGTACTCCACCCACCCTAACATTTGCCCAAGAGAAGTAGTCTTATTTTCTGTTTCTAGAATTGTAATTACATTCACTGAAGACAATCACATTAGGGAGACATTATTTGATAAAATAACAAGATGCTATCATAATATCGTCATAATGTTACCCTTTTGTCTCACGACGTGATTTTTCTTCTGAAATCTGGTTATTCCCACGCACCTTTTGCTGATCGATACCCTGCATTATTTATGGGTCATACTTTCATTTAGTTACTCAAGCAGTAGATGGGAGTTCCTTGAAAAAGTGTACACAGAAGCTCTGGTAATCCAGCTGGCTAAAGACTGAATGGACCAAGGACTTCTGAAGTTACATAAGAAGAAGTGTCCAAATTACTTTTTTACTATCTTGGGACTAAGAAGAAGGTAGTAGAGATTCATTTTCTGATTCTGTTGGTAACCTGCTTTATGATCTTAAGTAAATTTATTTACTTTTATGAATTCAGTTTTTGCTTTTACACTGTGGTTGTCAAAGGCTTACACATATAGTTTAACATAACTTATCATATGGGAATTGTCCAGTGGCTTACATGTGATTACTTTATATGAAGAAATTTAAACCTGCATGTAACCTTATAAGGGCTTAGCTATAAAAGAATATGAATACATAATGAACTCTTTCTTAAAACCAAACAATCCTTTTAGCATTGGAGATCTGATTAACAGCAAAGGTCTGGTGACTGATAACAATCACCTTTATTTTAAAATAGCTTCAAAGTGATTAAATCAATCAGTAAAGCAGTTCCACAAGGTATTAATGTTGGCATTAGTTATTGCTAAGAGTACAACAAAAATCATGTGTTGAAGTGCTTAATTTCTTTAAGATAACATTCATTACCAGTGTAAACTGAAATCAGTTTTCCACATGCATTCACTGATTTTGTATGTTGCTGCATAAAGATGATATTGCCTGATCAAAAATAGATAAATCTTCCCAAAGCTCTGAAATGGCTTCCCTGGTCTTGTGCAATGAGATGTACCCAAATCCCAGAAAGACAGATGAAATAGAATCACTCAGTGGAACTTTTACCTTTGGTCTGCTGAAACAGGAAAGGATATATAAAAAAACCCCCATCCCATAGGTTTTATCTGTAACCGCTACTAAGCTGTTATTTCCAGCAAAAAAGGCAGATTCTTGGCACATGGGGGGGTAGAAGATGTCTTGCTATGTGTCTAAAGACATGTTTGAGTCTCAGTTCAGACTGGTGCTAGCAATCAATTGCAGCTCATAAGTACCTCATTACTCAAGCTAAGACTGGAGGGCCAAACAGCTCTCACACTATTGGAGATGCATGTAAATAAATAAGTCATTGGATATTAAAAACAGTGTGTTTTACTGTCAAGGCTTGCTGTATTACCTATACTTATTCTTTTTGGAATTCTTATCTGCTCCATAATGTCCTTAGAGCTCAGGATAAGGGCATGTTTGTAGGTATTGTAAAGACATTTTAGTCACCAGTCCCTTGTCCATAAGAATTCTGCTTGAAATGCTTTTTTTACCATAAAGTTACTGGGACAAATCCTAAAAAAAGATGCAAATTTTTAAAGTTCCTATAAGTTTAATTGATGCAAGTTTGTATACTTCTGCTGATTTTAAAGGAGAGCAACAGAAGGTCTCAGCCACAATAAAACCCTTGTTCCTACTCCTTTTGTTTCTTTTGATTGTATAAGTGGAGGGGTTTTGGACCTAGCTACATTACTTATAACAAGCTGATGAGCATATCTGAAAATAAGTCAACTTCTCTTACTGTATTGCCGTTCTTGATATGTTTTTCTTTCTTTAGACTTTGTTTTTGGTGGTGGTAGTGTTTTCTGGAGATGACGTGATGTTCCAGTTGTTATGATTAATACCTCTGGGTGTGACAGGTTAAAGCTCACAGAATTGATAGAGTACATTTATACTTGTCAAAATTATTCTAAAACGAACAGTCCTAGCAGGAGGTAGTATTTTGTCACAGCATTTGGTGTTCTGGAAAAAACATCAGTCATCAGGGTTTTATTATCTTTGTTAGGTTAGTTTTGATGCAATAACTCTAAAGGTTTCTTCTCATTTTAAACATTAATATGAATGTGAAAGTGGAGGACTAGTTTGCCTTAAAAGTTTTCCCCTTATAAGTGTACACTTTAATTCTGGAGAGAAATCAAGCACAGCATGAAAACAAAATGGAAACAGTAACAATGAGAAAGAAGCACCCAAAATAGAGTATCAACTCATTTTTGAAAAAATACTGTTAATAAAATACAAAAAATCGTGAATTGTAAGCTTCCCTAAAAACTGTATATTAAATTAATCCCTGTGTTTCCTGTTTTAAAGAAACAAGTAGTTACTGTACAAGTCAATTAGTAGGGAAAACCACAAGGGAATATATTTTCTACACCGCCTTATTGTGTATTAGAGTGTGAAACATAAATATAAGACCTTTCTTATTCTGTGTTAGTAAGCTCTATTTAGAAGTGCATGGAGAACAGAGAGCTGTCTGGGGCATTCAATAAAGTAGGAATGGGAACTTCAGGTTGGGGGAAACAGCACTGCATTGATCCACACAAATGAAAGATTAATTGTCTGAAGTCCCCTTTTCTGTTTTGTGTGGGTCATTTACAGTAATGCATAAAATGTTGATCATATCTTAAATATTTAAGCCCCTAATGCTAGCCAGATGGGCCTTTAATTTCTTTCTTCACCTGTGGCTATCATGATTACTTCCATCAAAGTTTAGCTCGTTTTCATATTTCTCTGGAAACCTCTTGATCTCATTGCATTAGTTGTCTCCCTCCCTCAGTTAAATTCTTCATGTATTCCTATCTGATACTAATTTGTTCCTCTGGTTCAATGTATAGTCAAGAGAGTAATTTATTCATCTTCAATAGCACCACTGAAATCACAGAAGTACTTGATGCCCTGATTTATTAAGGCACTTGAGGTCAGTGCCTTAAGCATGTGCTAAAAAATGAAGCAAATGCCAGCACGACCTCCAAAGGATTAGTCACCTGCATAATGGTTTGCAGGGTCCTTAAAAATATGAACTTGTGGAACAGATTTGCTGCTCATGTAAGGATAGTGCAGCTGTACTGAAAGCTAAACGATGCTGACAATGTTTTCAGTGGAATTATGACAAGTCTACGCTAAACCTTCCCCTCTTCTTGTCTTGTGCCATGCTGATACCTCATGCTATGCCAAAAATAAAAATCAAAGTTAGAAAAATGCTTCTAACATTTTTAACTGTTCATATAACA